TTTTCTGGGGGGGGCGGGTTTTATGCGTGGTTTCGGTGAATCTTGTGGTGTGTTCTGGGTGCATCATGTGTGTGATGTGGACAATGGTTGCCCATCATGCCGGAGAGCTCATAGCAAAACATGATCTCTCCTCATCCATCAACCTGTGTGCTCCATCTCCCTGAGTTGCTTGCCCTCGGGTGGATAGTCTGGAGCTTGTACACTGTAACTGCAGCTGTCTTCGCCAGAAGAGAGAGGCTTCGAGAGAGACTGCTGTGCCACTAGTGTGAGAGCACATGCAACGCCACTTAGACCTCCGTGTTATAACTACTGGTCCTGGACCCCATGAATAGCTGGCCAGTGACGGAGCTCTGATATCCCTGACTTCTTCTGGGAGGACCCATGCCATCACAGTCTGACCCTGCCCACAGCCCCGGTCCACGGTCCGGCGCTCCATGTTCGTCATGCAGTACCTCGACAGCATCGTCCAGGAGAGGGCCGGGGTGCCCGGTGCAGGCGATGCGCCGTTGCTGGAAATAACACAACCATTTTCGACGATCGTGTATTTTGATATAAATCAGCCATCATTTCAGTCAATCATAATTCAGGTCCATCACATTCCTATATAGCTATTGGCAGAGGCGCGCGTCTCCTTGTGGCTGAGGTGTGATCGATGTAAGATTTCCCAGACAGGCACTCGACCGTGGGCGATGCGTGGGACGAGCTGCTTGGCATCACCATTCACCATGTTTGCTAGACCAGACACTCTGCTCCACTCTACAGAAGTAATAAAGACGTGAATGTAGTTATGTCGTCCACAGGAGACCTACGTCCAGTCGCATGATTTGCGACCTTCGTTGTTGACAGTAAGTTTGCGCAGAGTACCTGAATACTCTCAGAATCGTCACTGGGAAAATATAGTCACAGTCACAGCTATATATACAGGATAAGTTGTGTGGGGGAATACCTGAAGTGTGCGACACCGGATGGGTGCAGGGTAAAGGATGGAGAGTTTCAGCTTCTTGTCTGGTCCAACAATAAACACCTGTGTAGAGGGGGGAAGAGGGAGTGAGATGTTAGCAGGTTTCGGGCTGCCTACAGCTCTGCAGGTCAGTGGCAGTCCAGCCTTGTCCTTCTCCACAGGGTCCAGCATACCCAGCTGCACTGCCAGGTCTCTGTTGGGGTCTGAGATGATAGGGTAGGGAAAATCATCCACACTCAGCTCACTGTACGACTGCAGAGAAAATGTAGTGTGGTCAAATTCAATTATATTCTCAGCCAAATGCATACTTCGTGCAATAAGACCAATTATCCTTGTCTTGCCTGAATGTCTTTGATCCAACTGAGGTGGGACTCCACCGAGTTTGCAGCGCCAGTGCCGCTACTTAACTCTTTCGTTCCGTGTTCTTGAACTGGCTAGGGATGAGTTTGGCCACGGCTCCCAGCTCCGTGGTGCACACAGGAGTGAAATCAGCAGGATGAGAAAACAGCACGCCCCAGCTGCAGAAAGGATTTATAGAGCGGCGACATATGAAGTAGTTAACCTCCGCATCCTGTCGTCTCGAGTCGTGATAGGTAATTTTTCCCTTGGTGTGTCCAGCGCGTGGAAGTATATGGGAACGTGTCTCCGAGGTTCAGCGGCATTGCAACTCTCTCACGAAACTCGCACCACCAGCCGCAAGACGAGCGTTTGCTGTGTGTATAATTACCCCCACACATGCACCACCGGTCACCACGAGTATATACAACTAGTATAGTATCTATACCACGCGCCACGCGCAGCGTTAACGGATCACGCGTAACGACTCGCGCGTGTTTTATGCTGACGTCTGCATAAAATACCACATGGCAGCGGACTTGCAAAAGTGGAGACGATCTCTGCCCATCTTCCCAGCAAGAGGGAAGCTGCTGAAGGAGATCAAAGCTCGGCCGAGCTGTGTGGTGGTTGGTGAGACTGGAAGCGGAAAAACAACGCAAATCCCTCAGGTAAGACTTCGTGACACCTCACTGTAGTGGTTTGTGCACCATTATACTGTACAATGGTAGTATCTGCTGGAGAGTGGAGTGGGGACGAGTGGAGTGGTGGCTGTCACGCAGCCTCGCAGGGTAGCTGCAGTAAGTGTAGCCAAGAGGGTGGCTGAAGAGCGAGGCTGCCAGCTGGGATCAGAAGTCGGGTATGCAGTCAGGTTTGATGAATGCTACTCATCAGAGACAAGACTCAAATACATGACAGATGGGATGTTGTTGAGAGAGGCGATGTCAGATCCAACTCTCTCTAGGTGAGCTCTTCTGTTTGTGTGGTCCAAAAGTTTAGAGCGGGACTACATTGCGGTATTAGGTACAGTACAGTGATATTGGACGAGGCACATGAGAGAACGGTACACACTGACCTACTGTTTGGTGTGGTGAAGGCAGCACAGGGGAAGAGGAGAGGGGACCTGAGGGTGGTGGTAATGTCTGCCACTCTAGCAGCAGAAGAATTCTCTCTGTATTTCAACCAGGCCAAGGTCCTCTATGTCCAAGGCAGGCAGTTCCCAGTAGAGGTGAGCTGATGGGGGAGACTGAGGTACTACGTTGGACTGTGTTGGCATGCAGGTGCTGTATGCGGCAGAGCCCCAGCAAGACTACCTGCACTCTGCTGTGGTGTCTATTCTGCAACTACACTGCAGCATGGGCCCAGGAGACATCCTGGTGTTCCTGACTGGCAGAGAGGAAATTGAGAGTGTGCAGGTAATCTCTCACCTCCTCGTCAGCTGGTTGGAGCTATCCTCTCCACCTGCAGGGTGTCCTGAGGGAGTGTCAGTCAATGTTCCCCTCCAACTGGCAAGGTATACACGTTCAGCCTCTGTACGCAGCTCTACCTTCACATCATCAGCAACAAGTTTTCAAACCTGCACCCCAGGTAACCAAACCATTGATTTTTGATGCAATTGACTTGCCTCCATTTCACCTGCAGGGATGCCGTAAGGTGATATTGTCCACTAACATTGCAGAGACCTCAGTCACCATTCCTGGAGTGAGGTGTGTGGTGGACCCTGGACTGGTGAAGGCTAGAGGCTACAGTCCTGTGGTTGGACTGGACATTCTCAGTGTACAGCCCATCTCGCAGGTCAGGTCTTAGCAGCTGTCTGTTCAGACGGAAGTGTGTGTGCTATTATTAACCCTCGGCGCGCATGCGCAGCGAAGGTTGCAGTAGTTGTTGTGTGTGTCTGTCCATCGCCCTGACATCTCACATCACGAGCCATGAATCGCTCCACAAATAATACCACGTATTCAGCGTCGGGGTATGGATCGAAAGGTATGTGGGTTTTTTTCTGAAACTGCTGCGTTCGAGAGTTACGGTGTGAAAACCAAGTGAACGAGCCAATACGCAAATTTATATATATAGCACAGGCTTACCTCGACCAGATGCGCTTGCTCTGCGTACCTTGGAGGCACCAGAGGTTGCAATGTACGGGCGTCTATCGACTCTCGCATGTTATCTAGTAGTGTAGCTAGCCCGTTACCGACTCTCTGAGCGACCTGGTAGGAGACAACGAGTCGGTAAAATGGCCCAGCCCATCAATTAGCAGTACAACACATGCACCTACTTTCTCGCGCACGTTTTGTTCACACAATCTGTTCGCGCGTGCGCGACATATTCCGTAAAATATCTGTAACAAATCCCGTTCTCACATAGGCTACAGTTCTGCAGAGAATGTTTACCAAGCCTATTGTTGAGCTAAAACATGCAAATCCACTGCGAAAGATGTGCCTCTCTTGGTAGCATGCTTACCTCGTCTGCAGCCTTTCACAGAAGGCTGTGTAGGTCGGTCTTCCTCAACTTTGCTTACATGGGACACTTCTCCAGCGAGCGCGCGCGTCTCCGCCAAGGGTTTGCACTTTTCATTGCAGTGTATGGTTTGTGTTGAAATACGGTAGGCGCAGGCAAGACAGAGAGCTGGAAGAGCAGGCAGAGAGGCCCCAGGCTCCTGCTATAGACTCTACACTGAACACACATTCTCACAACTGAGGGAAAACTCTGAACCAGAAATCCTCCGCTGCACTCTGACGTCTGTCGTGCTGGAGCTGCTGGCAATGGGAATGAGTGATCTATTGACTTTTGACTTCATGACGGCCCCAAGCGAAGAAGGTCTGGTGTCAGCTTTAGAGCAGCTGTGTCTATTGGGGGCAGTGGAGGGAAGAGAAGGAAAAGAGGGAGTAAGGCTGACAGCCCTGGGTGGAAAAATGGCTACCTTCCCTCTGGAGCCAGGGCTGTCACGAGCAATCCTCCAGTCCTCTGTGAGTGTGTGTGTCTCTGACTATGTGTGTAGTTGTGACTGTTGCTGCAGGAGAGAGGCTGCAGCGAAGAAGTGGTGTGTGTGGCAGCTCTGCTCTCTGTGGACTCTGTCTTCCTCACTCCTCCCTCCCTCAGAGACAAGATGGCTGCTGCCCACCCGCAGGTTCCACTCCCCTCATGGAGATCACCTGACTCTACTGGCCGTGTACCATGCCTACACAGCTGCCTCTGGGAAGAAGGTTAGAGGGTGTGTGTATGTGAGTGTCGAGGAGATGGAGTCTGCTGTAGGCTTGGTGCAGGGAAAACTTCATCCATCAGCGAAACCTGCGAGCTGCATTGGATGTTCAACCACAGTTGGTAGAGCTGAGCAGTAGGGTGGGTGTGGCTCTGGTCTCCAATAGCGACAGTCGCACAGTACGGAGGGCTCTCCTGGATGGCCTGCACTGTCAGACTGCAGAGCATGTCGGAGGGGGAAGATATCGGACAGTGAGTGTCTCATGTCACTGTGAGAAACCGATATTGATTTGAGATGTTTCGGCAGCTGAGCTCAAGACAAGAGGTGTTCATTCATCCCTCCTCCTGTCTTTTCCACGTCAGACCACACCCACCCTGTGTCATGTACTCCCAATTAGTGCACACCTCCAAGTGCTACATGAGGTGACCCAATTCCATACTTTAGCCACTAAACCACACACCATTAATCTTCAGGAACGTGTCTGTGATTGAAGCTGACTGGTTGGCAAGCTAACAAATGGATCTCATAATTTTTATGTACGATTGTCTCTCCACAAATCCGTGAGATCATAAAATTGATGTTTGTCGTTTTCATTGGCACCCATCATCTGCATTACATTAAAATTTCATGATTTGTTGTAAAAAAAGATAAGAGTCAGTGGTGACTAGAAAGAGAGAGAGTCAGAAGGCCGAGATATCTAGAGGTCTCGAATACTGCCAGACCAGCTCCAGCACCCACCAACACATCCAGCAGGTGATGTCTGCCACCCACTACACGAGAGAGACACACCAGGACTGCCCAGCCAGCCCAGACCAGCGGTGGGAGGAATCTGCTGAGGGTGAAGTAGATAGCTAGTGCTACAGCTCGAGAGGCGTGGCCTGATGGGAACGCATATTTATCAACGGAGGAAACGCTGAGAGCAATAGTTCCAGAGTTTGTAGGAGGTCTGGATCTTTTGAAATACAGCTTCAGTGGAGCTACAGCCACAATGTCGACTCCCAACAACACCAACACGTTCCAAGCAAGGCTGAGATGGCTTGGGTCTGAGGTGAGGAGGTAGAGGAGGAAGAGAAGGCCACAGATGGCAAACCAGAGGACTCCGTGGCCAGACCACTCCAGTAAGAGACAGGCCAGCTTCGTCACAGGTCTCCGAGGACGCGCGCTCACGCACAGCCACCGACTCAGTTCTCTGTCTAGAAACAACACGAACTCCAGCATTCCGCCGTCCTGCGTGCCATTCACAGAATGGACTCTTCACTCACAGCGTCAACTGCCGGCCTACCTGCTGTGAGGGGGGAGGGGCCACTCTCTCAGGGGGTTGCGTCGTTAATCCGCTGCCTCCATTGTACATGGGAGCACTGGTCTGGGCCACTGTCAGTAGAGAACTCAGCATTGCCTGATACCGGGAGGGACATGCAAAGATGAGCTGCAGTGTGCGAGAGGCGAGGCCGCCTCGATCCGGCTCCCCCGCCTCAGCTCCGTGAGAGACGACACAGTCAGTCGATTATCACGTGGTGGACCCGTGCACTGCTGTGCGCATTCGCAAATTTAAAAGTGCACTGCGCGTGCGCGTAGTACTAGTAACCTATAGCAACCCATAAACAAGGGACGTCCGTCAAACCACTACTGCAGGCATGGCGCTGACGGTAGCAGAAGAGATCGACGAGCTGAAGAGGAAGATAACTCTGTTGGGTAAGAAGCTGAGAGTCTAGTTGTGTAAGTCTATTGCTATGTGTGCGTGTGGTAAGATGGGGACAAGAAGGCCTACAAGGAGAGCTCTCAGTGGGCCATACGACAGAACAAAGATGTCATCTCCCAGCTTAGGGAAGAAAACAAGACGTTGAGAGCCAAGCTATCCAAGAAAATGATGGTCTGTTTATGACGTAGCTTTCTTTATAACAACTCATATAATTGCAGGCTGACGATGATGTCATATCAGAAGTTTTTCAAAACCAGAACTTGGAGCCCCCAGCAGAACTGAGGGGAGTCCCTGGAGAGGTATTTAGAGCACCTCTGGAAGTCTTGTGTAAAAAGCTTTGTGCAGGTGGCCGTGCGTAAGTTTGACCAGACGGTGTGTGAGATTTTGAAGAAGAGGAACAAACTGCAGCATGCTCGCTGCTCCCGCGAGCAGATGCTAGCCCAGCTGACCAGCCAGGTGGAGGCAATGCAGGAGGAGAGGACAGCCACTGAGACAGTTCCTGCTGGAGATTCTGAGGCTGCCTCTCAACTGAGACAGCTGGAGAACAGACTGGACAAGATGGTCGTAAAATGTAGCGAGGCCAGTCACATTCGCAAGACCTACGAAATGATCCTCCAGAAACTTGAGGAGGTTAGGAGCACACTCACAAACAGAGCTTTAGACCCTGCAATTTCTATTTTCCATGATTATATAGGAGTGTCTTGGGTTTGACAATGCCATAGCAACTCTGGAAAAGGGTATCACTAGTCGCAAGGTCCAGTTGGCAGAGCTGGAGAGCATGTGTAACGATGCTCAACTGGCACGGGACATGGCAAAGGCAAGAGGTTTCTACTTGAGTCTAGTGGTGTTTATCTCGTGAGGCAGTCCAGATGGAGCTGGGCAGGCAGGAACAGAGCATGGCAGAGTCTCGCAGACAGAGAGACAAAGTCCTGGCAGAGTACCGCAGACAGGCGGAGGAGAAGAAGGAGTTCAAAGAGAAAGTGGAAAGAAGGGTAAGCCAGTTTCTCTTCCTTGTCTCACCTCAACTGCACCACAATCTGGTCTCTGAGCAGCTCAGAAAGACATCTACCCACCACTCAGCTGGCCAGAGTGAGTCTCTTCCAGGAGGGACTAGTCTTATCGTGTGTTGTCTGCAGTGGACAGCTCCCAGGGAGCCAGTCTCCAGGAGGAGCAGGAGCAGAAAATCTCATCCTACGAGGAGGCTCTGGCAAAGATCAAGGACACCACAGGAGTCAGCGACATCCTGGAAGTAGTGGCTCGTTTCCTGAACCAGGGAGACACCAGGGCTCACCTGGAGCAGCTGCAGGTGGAACACAGTCAGACACTGGCTCGTCTGCGGGAAGAGAAGGAGAGACTGCATGCCCAATTTGAGGAGATGAAGTACTCTGGGGAGGCTAAGATGTCTTCGTGAGTGGCGGTGGTTTCTCTTCTTTCTGACCTAGTTGTAACACCTTATCCCTGCAGGGGACAGAGGATGCTGGAAGAGTTTGGTACTCACTTGGACGAGGCTAAAAAGAAGTAACTTGGTCCATGAAACACATTTACTCATTGACTGAGAGTTGTAGGTGTGAAGAGAGCAAAGTGCGGGCTGAGCAAAGCTCTAAACTGTTGGTGCAAATCAAGAACGGAGTCCAACACCTGGCAGAGAAACTACAGCATATCAAGATGGTGGGTTGAGTCCCACCATCACAGTATACTAATGACCACACACACACACAGCCCCAGAGCCATGTGTTGAGACCAAAGGTGGCTGAGGGATCAGAGGAGCAGGTACTCCAGCAGCTGGCAGACAGCGAGCAGCGACTGGTGAGTCTGACAGAGGAAATGGCTTCCAGAGACCTGGACTCTCTCCACAGAGAGATGGACGACGAGGAGGTGAGAGCTCTAGAGACCCTGTAATATCCAACACTAATCACGTTCACCTAACCTGACAGTTCAGACACACCGTGGAGTGTGGGGTGCCTGGGAACGTCAAAGTGGAGTTACCAAAGACAGGGGAAGAGACTTCCTTCTATGGTGAGTGGTGGTGTCCGTGATCTGATAGACTGTTGGTGTGGCCTGCAGATGAGGAGAGTGGGAGCGATGAGGAATTCCTGGACAGAGAGGTGATGAAGCGAGCCACCACTGCTCTGGTAGAGGCCAAAACAAAGAAGAAGGGAGCAGACGATGACGAAGATGAGGGAACGACTAAGAAGAGGAAGAGACGGTAGCTGCAACAACTCTTAGCTGCATACCCACTAACTGAACTCCTCGCATCACTTTATCACCATGTTCTATGTTTTACCAAACATTTTTGGCTTAGGGAGTAGATCATGAAGGGAGAATATCATTATTGTGGAGAACACACAATAATGCTGGCCAACAGCAATGTGTCTTCAACGAGGTCAAAGGCAAACAACACTATGCCAACTTAGGAAGAAAGGCAAAGAGCACAACTACACCCACGACAACTCTTTTTTCCAGATCTGTCCTGGGAGGGATTCGAACCCACGATGGTCTGCGCTCTACCAACTGAGCTTCCAGCAAGTAGGGCTTAAAATCTAACACCAGACAAAGGCAAATTGTAATTTGGCACAGTACAATCTCACACAGCATGTCAAGCAACACAATGACATTTGAGGCCGTGAAACATCGTCAGAGACCACTATAAGCTACACACTCTCTGCCAGGTATATACTAGGTCAAGTCAAAGATAGATTACGAGTCTAATTTAATGCCACAAATTTCAAATAACTCTACTACTGTGAGAGAAGTCAGAGGTGAAGGTGAGGGTTCCAGTACTGCGAGATCTGGCACGAGGTACTCTCTGTCCTCCTCTCCTGGTCCCCTGGACCGGGAGTAGGTACCTGGGAATAGGGCTCAGCTTAGCTCCCGCATTGACTTCTCCACTCACTTGAGCCTGGCCTGGGCTTGGCGGAGGTAGCACTGGTAGTAGCCTTCAGTAACGTCTGGTGTTCTTTCTCTGACCAAAATCCCACTTTTCTAAGATACAAGAATAACAGCACTGTCTCCCTCAAGGGGACTTGTCAAGCCTGTAGAGCTATGTGCCTCTTTTAGCTTGTGGGTAACTGTAAACTTGACATGGTGCTGCTGGCAAGGAGAGAAGCTGATGACAGCCTCGGCTTGTCTTGCAAGCTGAACATCCAGGTGTTTGTTCAGAGGAGAGACCAGAGGCTGGAACACAGTCTGCTCGGCCTCTCTCTCCCTCCCCCATCTCCTCACCACTTCCCCTGTACCAGAGAACACAGCTCCTTCCCCATCACTAGTCAGCCACAGTCTGTGGAGGAGTTTGATGCAAGGGGTGTAAGAGAGACTAGACAGCTTCACCTGAGAAGGTGGGAGTCAGGTGGGGGGTGACTGCACCAGATCCTGCCCAACTGGTCTGCATACCCCAACACCTCTTCCCCTCGTTCCTGAAAAACACAATAACTTTAACATTAAAATTATGAAAATCTGACAATTACGCTGAAGAGAAGGTAGCTCAGAACTCCTGGAGTGTGTGAGTAGATTAGCACAGCCAGTGAACCCGATGGGTAGCTGAAATTTTCACCAGTAAAGGTGTAAAGAGAGCACATTTGTATTGGTATACCGGTAGTGGCCAGTGTGGTCAGGTAGCAGAGTACTGAAGGAGATGGAGCTGTCAGGATATTGCCTCACATCTACTTCTCTGGGACCTGCCATGCTCTGCAAATATACTAGAACATAAACCCGTCCTTTAACAATGTACCTTGCTGTGTTTTACTTTTATAAGCAGCTCAAGAATTTCTGGAGGAAGTTTTCTTGTGACGTTTCTCTTTTTCTTTTTCTTCTGCTCCCTAATACTAGTTCTTTGCCTCTCGCCAAAAGTCCAGCCAGTGCTCAGCACTGCCGGAGACAGCAGTGAAAACTGAATGGTTTTGGTCTGTTTTGTCACTGGAACATGTACATTTGAAACAAAACCCTAACCAACACTTGCTGCACTCACAGGAGTAGAAGCTTGAACTCTGTAATGTCTTTTTCGCCATCTTTTTTCTCTGTCGTTTTCTTCGTCTCAAACTGCCCAAAACAAAATATTTCGGTTCACAAAATGACCAGTGCTGTCTTACAGGGCAAGTGCTCTCTCCTCCGCTTCCATCTTCACGTCTTTCTTGTTTCTGAGCTTCACTGTGATCTCTGTTGGCTGTGCGGAGACTCTCTCTGCTATCATCTGTCGTAGACATCCAGCAACCAACAGACAGAACTCCTTGAACTGCCAGCAACAAGCCTCAGCTCTTCCCTGTGATTGCTATATATAGGGATCTATACTGTATGATGATGATTCCTAACCTGATCTCCACTCCCAGTGGCAGATTGCAGCACACTCCACTCACCCAATGGCTGTCCACAGAAATGACAAAGTTTGTTCAATTCAGCAACCACTGCCTCCTCTGTTGCACATCGAGCCTCATTTGGCATCAACTCATTACTTGTGTTCTCTCTTGCTGTTTCTTGGTCCCTTTCAACCCCTTTGAGCACCTTCCTTGGCTCTCGATCTATACTGAAGTACTTGCTGGCTTCTGACTCAGATTCTCGGAGATACCTCAGTACAGCAGGCCAGGAGAGTTGTCGGACAGCTAGTTCAGTGTTGGGAGCTGATGGTTCTACGGCCAGCGAAGGAAGTATTGTATCTCCCACCTCTTCCTCTCCTGATGATGTTGATGATGCGGAGTATGAGTCACTGGGGAACTGGAGAGCTGCTAGATGCTGTGACTCAGGAGCACTCATTGCTTCTTCTGTCACAATATGAGGCAGGGAAAGCTTCTCCAGACCCTCTTTCTGCTCTTCCCTTGCCTCTCTGGAACAGGCTCCAATTTCAGGCATACCAGAGCTCCTGCTGACACCGAGTAGGGGTCTATCAAGGATTGCATTTTCACCCTTTTTCTTCTCGTCCTCTGTGAAGCTGTGAAGCCAACTCCACGGTGTCTGAGTACCGACTGACACCATTATTTTCTACGTCTACCAGCCCCACCCCCACAACCACCAAGCTCTTTTATTACGTCACCTCCCCGATCGCGCATGCGCGTGAGACTAGGTCAAAGTTTACTCGTGTCTCAAATTGTGGTGTAAAGTCTCTCTGTGCAAGGCTATCTTTAGGAGTTTAGTATGGAGTCAGAGGTTAACGAAACAGCAGGAGTGGAGAACACTAGTAATGTCACTGGCCGGGACGCAGCTACTCCTGAAGGCATAGCTATCACGTACGGGAGTCTCTTTTTGATGGCTTTGCTGCCTCTCTTCTTCGGAAGCCTCCGCTCCGTGGGCTATCACACTGGACTGAAGGTAGGGAACAAAGTGAAGTCCCTACTTATTCCTCAGCTCAAGCCTCTCTCTGTTATAGACTCGCGGAGAAGAAGCTGGTGACAGGATAGGAATGAGAGACGCAGCCATGTTCCCAGTGTATGCCAGCGGCGGGCTCTTCGGTCTCTACCTCTTCTTCAAGGTTTCTCTGCTGCTATTTGTCATGACTGTCTCTAGCTGGCCCTCTCTCTCTCCCTCAGTTCCTGCCTAAGGAATATGTGAACACGATATTGAGTGCTCTGTTCCTGTTACTGGGTATTAGTGCCCTCACCCGAGCCCTAAGGTTTCTCTCTCTCTTACTTAGCTCCACGTCTTCACCTTTGCCTTGTCTCTCTCTCTGTCTCTCCAGCTCCATTGTCAACCCTTTCATTCCTGACTCCTGGAAGGCGTGGTTCACTCAGTACAGTCTCCACCTAACTGTCACCACCCCAGGGAAGGAATCTGGTCAGCTTCAACCCACCTTCTCTCTACCTACTTACCTAATAGACCACTTCTCTCTCCCTCTGCTCCATAGAGGAGTCCAGACTCAAGTTCACCACAATTGATGTGATCCTAGCTGTGGGAAGTGCTCTTCTCGGACTGGGCCACCTACTCTCCAATGTAATTCCTCTGACATCATCCTGTGTCATGTGATGTGATGTGATGTGATGTGATGTGACCTCCACAGCACTGGCTCTCCAACAATGTCTTTGGTCTGGCGTTCTGTCTGAATGCCATCGAGATGATCTCTCTCGATAGTGTCGGAGTTGGAGCACTTCTCCTTGGAGGTCTTTTTCTGTACGACATATTTTGGGTCGGTTCTCTCTCTGAACAATGTTTGGTTTGTGAGAAAATGTGTAACACATTTTTCTGCACACCTTTACTCACTAACAAAACAATGTTCGCAAGAGTTCATCTTTTCCTTCTAGGTGTTTGGAACTGACGTCATGGTAACAGTAGCCAAGTCGTTTGAGGCTCCAATAAAGTGTGAGTGACTCAGAGTCAGCCATTGTTTACTCATCTTCCCCCTTCTCTCCCAGTGATGTTTCCTATGGACATTCTAGAGAAGGGACTGGGAGCCAATAATTTTGGGATGCTGGGACTAGGCGACATTGTTATTCCTGGTAGGTTTCCCTCTCCTCCAATCCCTATATACCTCCCTTACCTCCTCCCGCAGGACTACTCATTGCTCTCCTGTGTAGGTTTGATAAGAGGTGAGCCAAAACGTTACTCTGTACTGTTTCCAGACTCTTCCTTCCCCCAGTCACCACCCCAAGGGGATCAAGGTGTATTTCTACTCTGGGTTCCTGGCCTATGTCCTTGGTCTGGGCACCACCATCGCTGTCATGCACACGTTCAAGGCTGCCCAGCCTGCCCTGCTCTATTTAGTGCCCTCCTGCCTGGGTCTTCCACTGTTCATGGCTCTTATTCGTGGAGACATCTCAGACATGTTCAAGTACGTGCCTCCACACATGAGGTTACCCCACACTCACCATCTTTCCTCCCCAGGTATCGAGACTACCCTGAAAAGAAGGAAGCCAAAGAGTCCAAGGAAGACTGATCTTGTTCCCCTCTCTGGTTCACATTCATTCTCATCGATTTCTTGATCATACGGAGATCAAAGTTTCATGATCAAAGCCACTACGCGCATGCGCAAATAGCATAAGCGACAAATTATACTACTGTTGAAGCGTGCGTGTCGGGGGTTCAGAAAAGCCAAGGTGTGGAGGAGCATCGCACGGAATGGAGAGTGCGTGAATATTGTGTATGCAGCTGAGCCTTATCCCTTCTCTCTCCCGGCAGGACCGAGACGACAGAGGGACATCTCGCTTTCTATCCAGTGAGCCAACTCAGTGTTTGCTTACGGCGCCCCAGCTGAAATAGCCTCCGTCGTCCCCCTCTCGCTGCAGCTCTTTCTCCCTCACGGCCTCACCGAGCGGGTCCTACGGCCTGAAGCTGAGCGGTAAAGCACCTGCCATGGTTGCTCTGGTGCAGAAAGGCTCGCCGGCCGCTCGTGCGGGGCTCCTGGTGGGAGACTTTGTACTGAGAGTGGCTGGTCAGGACACACGGAGTGCGGACGGAGAGATTGTTCTCCGGAGACTGAAGGAGGAAGTGGGGAAGACGGTGGAGGTGGGTGTAGCCAGACCCTCTCCTGTTCCTGTGACTGACAAGGAGAAAATGAAGGCTCTCATTGTACTGCAGACCAAGGTTTGGTTTGATTGAGTGTGTTGAGATGTCGTGAACATGGTCTTCCTCCTCTGATATAGCTGGACAGTGGAACCATATTCCAACCATCTGGTGAGCCAGGATCTCCTGTATAGCCCCCAGCATGTAGGGGGGAAGCTAATGTAACCTGATTCTAGCTGTATATGGACACGAAGTGGGTTGGACGACATGCCAAGATGTTAGTGAGTGTGGGCAGACACTCGTTGCCTTGTTCTCGGACCTGATGTGTACCTCCCTGGCTCTCTCCTTGGTCTCGTGTGTCATATATAGCTCTGTCTGCCCACAGGCACTGGCTACTCCACCACTGTCCAAGACGCCCTCGCAGCCACTAGAGACATTCTGGGGGACCTCGGTTTGGACCCCTCCCCCCTCCCCGCCACCCAGGAGGTGGAGGTGAAGATGTACGACAGTGACTCCCTCCCCTCTCCTCCTCCCTCCTCTGACAGTGAGGAGGAGAAGGACCCTCTGTTAGATTTCTCCAGAGATGATGCTCTCACTTACAGACCGGGCCAGCCAGCTAAGGCAGCTCAGAGCCTGGCAGACAGTGTCAGACAAGCTACACATGCCCTGGAGGTGAGAGGGAATGTGAGGAGGACCACTAAGTTAAAGGAATTTCACTTTTGCCATTTCTAGTCAATTGTTGTTTGATGTCAGGTGCGTTCAACCTTTATCTGTGTGACTATACACACAGAGTATGAAGAATCTGACTGAAGGGCTGAAGAAGAAAGAGAGACAGAAGTCTCCAGTACAAGTGAGCTCAGTGGCTTCACTCCAGACAACAGCAGTTAGCTCCACGAAAAGAGAGAGAAGTCCCCACCCTGGAGTGGGGCCAGAGACTGAGGCCTTGGGTGACAGACTGCGGGAGCAGAGCCCTTCTCCGTTCGACGACGGGAGGGAAGAGCTGCAGTGGGTGGAACCCGCGGCCCCTCCTCTTCCTCCCCACACCAGTCTCCAGAGAACAACTACCCAGGAGCCAGGGGGAGAGATGGACATGCCTCCCCCTGTACCTCCTCATGGCAGAACTGGAGAGCAGCATGGGGAGGAGGAGAGGAAGAAGAGGGAGAGAGAAGACACTCGGAGGGAGATAGAGAGGGAGCTGGCCAGGAGGGAGAGAGCCGAGGAGAAGACCAAGGAACAGCAGTCTGTTCCCAGAAGACAGGCTCCCAAAGCCCTAGCACCTGCACACAGCAGAGGTGTTCCACTGAGAATGAAGCAGAGCAGAGAGAGGCCGGCTGGGGTGGAAGAAGAGGGAAAAGTGGTCGGAAGAGCCATGGGGTACAAGAAACTGCACCCTCCCCCCTCCCACCCTGCCCCCTCTCCTCCTGCAGATGAGCCTGTGACGGATCTTGCTGACCAGCCGACAGCTCTGGGAGGCCTCCCTCCCTCCAGTCAGTGACTCACATCCTCCATCTCCACACACTCCCTCTGTTCCTCCCTGCAGTTGTGACGTGGCGAGGAGAGGAGGTGGCCACCTGGCTCTTCCAACTGAGTCCCACTCTCTCACAGCACTACAGACCATGCTTCTCTCGTCATGACATCACTGGTAATTCCCTCGTTCCGCCCTCGTATCAGTAATTCACTTTCGTCCTCTAATTTCAGGCCAGACACTCATGAGACTCAACCTAGCCAAGCTCAAGTCAATGGGAATTGATAATATCAAGCACTGGTTAGTATAATACTGCCTCTCTCTGTTACCAGTGATATAATAATATCTCCTGATTGCAGTCAGCAGTTGGGGCTGGAGATCGCCAAACTCAAGATTTACCAGGAATCACTGGAGCTGCGGGAACTGGAGGAAGAGAGTCAGCTCTCGTTCCTTTAGTCCCCCTTTCCACTAGCTAGCCCACCCCTTTCATTACAACTTTTTAGTAATGAGCAATTTTTAGGTCATAATGAGCTGGTCGTCGCGCGCGCCGCGGATTATGAATTTAGTTATCAGTGCAACAGTTTTGTCGCGACACCAGCAGAGGGAGGTGTGCAGAAGCCGGGCTGCCATTGTTGCCTGGCTGCTTTACAGAGCTAGCGCCGATAGCAGTGATGTCGGACGACAAGATAAAGCGACTGAGGACCCACGTGGTCAAGGAACTGTACGACACGGAGGCTGACTACACAGCCCATCTGGAGTTCACTGTCACCGTATGTTCCGAATGCTTTCACTGGAGAGTCCGGCGGTTAATTAGCCAGAACTGCATTAGAGACACCGACTTGAAGGGCGTAGCTAGTCGCGCGCAGGCCTGCCTTTTAGTAGCTCGTAAAACACACGTGCGAACAGCTCCGACTTGTATATACCGCAGGTTTTGCTGGAGAAGGCGCGAGTGAAGGGGCAGCACGACAACACGTTCACGGAGAGCGTTCTGGGGAAGCTGTTTTGCAACATAGAGGACATTCTGCAGCTGCACCGGAGACTTGTGGAGGAGCTGAAGGCCTGCTTGAAAGGGGGTGTGTCGTACAGCTGCTCCATTGCAGGAGTGTACCATAAGTTTGTGAGTGTCCACACATCCACCAGGCTAGCTACATACATCTCCTAGCTGAGCTGTTCATAAATTCCCTTTAGGCTCAGTTGCATCACATGTTGTATTGCTGCAGAAAGAAGAGTTCCTAATCTACCAGGACTATGGGAAGGGGAATGAAGCAGCCCAGAAACTGCTGTATGAACTGGAAGACAATGAAGGGTTTCAGGCCTTCTTCCTGGTGAGTGGTGTTTGTGTGGGGAGATGTGGGCCCAGCTAGCAGTGTAGGTGGTGGACACTGCAGCTGGTTTAGGAGTAGTGTAAACGCACTGATAGAGTGGCCTCTCCATTCAGGTCCCATGTAAACATGAAAGTCACCATACTATGTTGTGGGCGCACATCTCATGTACATATGTAGGCTTGTCTTCTGCTGGGAGGTCGGGATGGAGGAAATGGAATCAGTTCGTACCTCTTCAAGCCCATCCAGAGAGTCACCAAGTACCCTCTGCTCTTTAGGGTGAGTCACCAACCATGCAGTGACAGTGTGCAGTTTTTAGCCACACATACTGTGTCCATAACTTGCATAGCTTTTTGCATAGTTATGCGCTAATACCGACAGCTATTTCGGATACTTCCCGCTCCCTCTCGAACCACCCACTCTTTCTTTATTTTGCTCGTAAGCAATTCTCGATAACTATAAAACTTGGAGACACTGTATGTCTAATAGTACTAGAGTTTTCTCTCTGTCTGTGTGATTACAGGAGTTGGAGAAATACACTCCCCGAGACCACCCTGACTACGAGGCAACACGGGCAATGGGTGTACGGATGAGAGAGATATGCTTCGTCATCAACGAAGCAAAACGAGGTGTCGAGAAACTAGATGCCATCACTGACTGGCAGGCCACAGTGGACGGCTGGGAAGGTTCGAAGGTGACGGACACTTGCAATCAGCTGATCAAGGAAGGAGCGCTGATAAAGATATCGGCAGGCAACACGCAGGAGCGAATGTTCTTTCTTTTTGACAACCTCTTCGTGTACTGCAAGAAATCTCTGCTGTAAGTTAGTCAGCTAGTCAATAGCTATTGGTGCCGTTGCCTGGCATTCTGTGCACTGCATTGCTGGACTTGCAAGGACATTCCACTACCTTTGAAATTCTCCAAACACACTAGGTTTTAGCTTCTGAATCGAAGTACTAAACCCTCTGCTACATGTACGTGTGTGTGTCTGTGTGTGTTGTGTAGGTCCAGGACACGCCCTCTGCTGTTTCGTGGGCGAATTCCAATGGAAAACCTCGACGTTGAGGATATTGAAGATGGAACAGGTCTGTTCACATGTGAACATCAGTGTCTCCTCATGCTGAGGCTCTGTCTGCCATACTTTCACACACACACACTTTCTCTTACATATAGCTGACTTCCACACTTGTCTCTCTCTCTCTCTCTCTCTCTGATACACAGCTGACTTCCACACTTGTCTCTCTCTCTCTCTCTCTGATACACAGCTGACTTCCACACTTGTCTCTCTCTCTCTCTCTCTCTCTGATACACAGCTGACTTCCACACTTGTCTCTCTCTCTCTCTCTGATACACAGCTGACTTCCACACTTGTCTCTCTCTCTCTCTCTCTCTGATACACAGCTGACTTCCACACTTGTCTCTCTCTCTCTCTCTCTGATACACAGCTGACTTCCACACTTGTCTCTCTCTCTCTCTCTCTCTGATACACAGCTGACTTCCACACTTGTCTCTCTCTCTCTCCTCTGATACACAGCTGACTTCACATCTCTTCCTCTCTCTTCCTCTCTCTCTGATACACAGCTGACTTCCACACTTGTCTCTCTCTCTCTCTCTCTGATACACAGCTGACTTCCACACTTGTCTCTCTCTCTCTCTCTCTCTCTCTGATACACAGCTGACTTCCACACTGGTGGAATCACGGTCACCAACAGCTGGAAGGTGCACAACATTGCCAAAGACAAGTGGTTTGTCCTCATTGCCAGGACTCCCGAGGAGAAGAAGGAGTGGATGGATGCCATTCGCGCCGAAAAAGAGAAGAAGAAGAGTAAGTTCCTCTCCACCTCTCTCTCGTGGTGTGTGTGAGTGTCCTGACAGGATCCCAGGCCAGCAGGGGACAGGCCATCTACAGACTGATGGTTGACAAGGGAGAGAAGCTTCATCAGAAGGCTAAACAGGGGAAAACCCCTCTCGTTAGGGACCACAAGGTTATGCTGCGCTCTGTGGGGAAGTGTTTCAGTGGAGCGGAGTTTGTGTGGTGGCTGGTGGAGCAGGGGGAGGTGGGGAAGGAGGACGAGGCAGTGATACTGGGACAGCATCTACTGGAGAACGGCATCATACACCACAGTTAGTGAGCTAGTGATACACCAATACCACTGTTAGTGAACTAATGTTGCATGAAAATATAAGTGTTGTCTATTGCATGCGAAATGTCCCACACCCATACATTGAAGTAGCATATCTCACACGCAGTAAGGTTAGTGGTATCTGGGCTTCCTCACTCTGCAGTTGTAAACACTGCTCACCACAATCAATGCTGGACATAGGCCGAGGGGAGGTACGAAACCTTTAGTCAATTCCTGGCATACCTCAGCCCAAGCCCAAGCCCTCCATCTGCTTTCAGTTTTGACTCCCTAATTCACCCTCTCCCCCCTCTCATTACCTCAGCCAATGACAAACACCAGTTCAAGAAGGGAGAACTACTCTACAGGTTTCGCTATGACGACGGAACATTCCGACAGAAGTATGCCAGCAGTGAACTGGCAGCTAGGGTGAGTCAGCAACACACACACACCACTTCTCTCCCTTTACCTCTCTCTCCTCTCTCCCCTCTCTTCCCTATCTGTAAACAGGGTGTGCGGATGTACTGCCGTCTTCATGGTCTGTTTGACCCTATCATTAGGTGAGCTCCTTCATTTTCTCCAATCACAGTAGCACCCACTCCCTCTACAGGGACCACAAGGGTAGTGTAATTGGAGGGGCACTCAGGAATGTCCTCAATGCACAGAAGTTGATAGAGTGGCTGCTGGAGGAGAAGGACATTGTGTCCCGAGACGAGGGAGTCGCTCTTGGACGACAGTTTGTGGCTCTTGGTGTTCTGAGACATGGTCAGCCTCTCTCTCTTCACTCTGTGGTTTGGTGTTCTGAGACATGGTCAGCCTCTCTCTCTCACTCATTGTGGTTGGTGTTCTGAGACATGGTCAGCCTCTCTCTCTCTCACTCATTGTGGTTGGTGTTCTGAGACATGGTCAGCCTCTCTCTCTCCTCACTCATTGTGGTTGGTGTTCTGAACATGGTCACCTCTCTCTCTCTCACTCATTGTGGTTGGTTCGAGACATGTCACCTCTCTCTCTCTACTCTCACTGGTTCTACTGTAGGTAATCCACTTCTATGTACTAATTCATTTTGGTATTGAGTGTAACCACCATGCAACACTTGCAGATCGTAAGACACCATGTTATAGAAGGTGGTTGGCCACTGCAGCCTTACGTCATAGATAACAGCACACATATGCTCGTGATTGAGATTCAGTTCCCATTGCTTGGTCCACTGC